AGGGCGCTTTATATTATACACCTTGGTGGTTTAATTATAAATAGATGTGGTTTTTCTATTAGACAGTGCTAGGTGTTATAACTATATTGCCATTTATATTGCCAAATTAGGGAAGACAAAAACTTCAGGAGGAGACAACAATTTATTTTAGGCAAGGACAAACTATGAATGGTAAACAAAAGATAAGCCACGAGGGAAATTTACAGAGTAGCAAAATACTTGTATAAACATAAAATGACCACTCTGTTAATAAAATTAATAAATACTTTGTTTAGAAGAGCGTCATGGACTTAAAGCTCGAATTTCGATAAGAAAATATGTATACAAATAATCTTATCCCTGCATTGAGATCATTATCAAAAATAATAAAGAATCATATGGTGGATCCTTTCTTTTGATGATAGTAAGTCAGCTTTCTCAAAGTTCTTTCACCCAGAATATTTTAAAAATCGCTATAAAATCTTTTGCCTAGTAGCTGATGAGTTATTGAGAGCGATCAATCATGTCAAAGGTGCATTACAAATGGTTATCTTTCAGATCTTATTCTGATTGGTTAATAATTCGGAGTGTTAGACGGGAGACTGTCACCTAGATAAAGAATGGATCTCTTCCACTTCATTTCAAGTCATCAATTCGCATTAAATTTTACAGAGAATTAGTAGGTGCACGCACGCTTTGTCATTTTTAAAAATTGGTTTTAATGATAAAAAATCTCTCTTTTTTTTTTTCTTTTGATTCATCGATTGAATCTATATGGGGGTGAAAAATTCGCTGAGTTTTTTTTTTCTTCTTCTTTTGTTCAATTCTTCGTTATTGATTTGGATCTATTTAGGGTCTTTGTCGATTTCGATTTCTTTGGATAGGGGGATCTGTACCCCGAGGGTGTTTGGGGGAAAGTAAATGGGGTCGTCTTCTCTTAATAATGTTCTTTTCTTTTCCCTCTTTAGAGAAGTTGGAATGGTCAAATGGCCATGGAAGAATTCCCTCCTGTTCTGATAAACTTTCCATTATATATCATCTTTTGTTATATCTTCCATGATAAATATACACTTTCAATCATTTGATAGAGATTCTCTTTTTTTATTCTTGTAACTTATCAAATTTCTGCTTCAATTCGTTTTCTATTCGGCCTAGAGATCTATTCACAAGTTCTATTAGAAGATTGTAACGCTTCTAATGTTATTGACCTGATTCAACTTTGAAGGTGCATTTTGAATATTTAAGGATAAAAAATAAACTTATTATTAATATGAAAAAAATAGTACAAATGTAATATTGTACTGGGATAAGGTTCATAAATTAAGAAAAAGGCATCTCCTTATAGTGAAACTTAAAGTTGCTGATGGTTGATGCGCAAGCCATCGGCAACTTTCAGTTGCACGATAAAGAGATGCCTTTTTCTTATTATTAATAGTTGATTCAAAATTTTGAAAAACAATCATTGACAAACCTTAAGGAAGTTGTACCTTTTAACATATATATCGGGATTCAGAAAAAAACTCTGAAAGATATCACAGTGACCTTTATTGAAAACACACGAGATAACCAAGTGTGAACAAAATTGCCTCTGTCTCCTTAAAAAAAACATCGATATCAAAGACCTTCCACTTCCAAAAGATTTGTTCATGAGTGTAATTTTAAAATAACATTATATTTTATTCTGAGATTTAACGCATAAATCATGTTCCAGAAATATAGAGTTAACTGTGAATGGAATCATAGTTTCAAACACTATCAGTATGCAAATTAATCTCCGTCTTATTTACATATTCTGCATTTCTGAACAAAGCCGAGCCATTTTTATAGCATACTCAATCGGTTTAAAAAGCCACTCTTTTAGGGAATATATAATATGATAACTGATGTAATTTTGAGGTCGTGAGTTTATTTCGTTTAATTCCTGATAGACATGTCGTTGATTCGCATATTTATGTAAATTATATTACACCATTTTATTCACGATCGAACGTTGTGACCCACCACTATACATATCACATCCCAAACACGACGCGACACTAGCCATTTCTATCTTGAGCTCAATGTACTATCTCGGCGACTGTCAAGCCAGTGAGTTCCTTTAATTGGTCCACGAAGAGTTCAGGTATGAGTCGCCCAGAGGTCTTTACGGTCAGACAACAAAGTTCTCAAACAATAAGGATTTATATAAGGCAAGTGAGAGGGTATAAACGGATGTTAACAATGTAATTTCTATGCCATCTGGGAAGGTTATTATCATACTTAATGGGGAGAATGGCTGACAGTTTCTCAACTCTGGATGACATTTTGATGTCCTCTATCCAGATAGATGACACATGAGTTGGTTTTAATGGAGCTCTTTCAAGTGTTCAGAAATTTGTGACACTTGTTGATTTATCATAAAGATAGAAGCTGCCCCTGGCCAGAGCATTTATAGTTCTTTAAATTAAAGATACTTCAGCCAGTAAATATTTTTATTATCTCGACGTTTCCAAAATTAAAACATTTGGTAATTGTTTGTTCCTGACATGGACAAAATATTTTTGTATAAACGTACGAGATAATAAAAAATATTTACTGACCGAAGATCTTTAATTTGAAGAAATTGTTAATTTAGCCATGAAATTCGTCTACTATACCTTTTAGTAATATGCATTGAATGTCAAAAATGATAATCTTAACTAAATATTTGTTTAAATATGTATTTCTAAAACGATTAAAAGATACAAGTATCAGAGTCATCAATCAATTCTTAATTCTGTCACAGTTTGCTTTTGTGAATGGAATAAATACCCAAATATGGCCATTTCTTCTAAGCATCGGTAGTACAATGGCGAGAATGCTCGCCTGCCACGCGAGCGGCCCGGGTTCGATTCCCGGCCGAATGAATTTTTTTTTTTTTTACAATTTTTAAAACTCATTTATATATTATACAAGAATGACATCCACGGCGCCAATTTATAATTGTAACGAATAGTATTTGAATAAAAGCATTTAATCGGGTAAAACCCGGGCGTTGCCCGGGCCATTCGGTTAGTATATGAATATAAATATAAAAATAATTGTTGAAATAATTATATGAGTTAAAAATAGTTCAAATTTCTTATAACAGTTGGGGCGCCATTGAATCACATAAAAAAGGGAGAAATGTAGATAGATATATATAATAATTAGTAATATTTTAACAGCGGCTTCGTTTATTTTATTCATTAGATCTGTTTGGTTAAAAGAATGTATGTTTCATTCTTATTTGTCATTCATTGCTAATTATTGTAGAAATTGTTGGTAAATATATTTCATTATTTTACATAATTAATTCTTTATTTTATTTTTAATCTGTATATATTTTAATTGATTCGGCAACACTGTGTTGTATACATATTTTGTGTTTTGCTTAGTTTTTTTAGTCTAGTTTAAATCAGCCATAAATTCATGTAGCTTATAGTCAAAGATTATTAAATTCAGAGGTTCCTTGATCAATTTGCGTAGAGTTCCCTTACTCAAGTCTACAGAATCAATTCAAGTTAATCAGCGCTGTACCGTAGCTCATAGAATTTGAGCTCGGTAGACCACGCGAATTACAAGATCCTTTCAGTATTTTCTATTACCAATTCTGCCTATATATTGTTATTTCAGTTTTTTTTAATCAGTAAATAGTTTAACGACATTTGAGAATTATCCCGCATGTGTTTCTTTTCAACGAAAAATCAAAATTCATTTTAAGAAGAAATAACGATTATTTATAACTTTAGGGATGAGGTATAAAAGGATGAATTGTGAAGAGTAATGATAAACGGAAAAATGAAAGTTTGATTTTTCGTTGAAAAGAAACACATGCGGGATAATTCTCAAATGTCGTTTTACAATCAGAAGTCGCATTATATTATATTGTACAGTAAATAGTTGTTTAGAATATCGAATAGGATATACGGTTATCAAAATAATTATAATTTTTGACAATGCCTTTGCATATATCATCAAATATTAATTCTAAAGACCTTTCTATAATTTTTATTTGCTTATCCCTAGTACACATGGTACAGGCCATGATAAGTGTACCACATATCTACACATTTGAAAGGCAATTCGACTTTGCACTTACAAATGTGCCAGTGCCCCGTTTGGTTACTTTCATTCGCTGGTGGTGTTGGACCTTTGCAAGAATTCAGGGGGAAGGGACATTGAAACAATTTACACTCATGGACAAAACATAAGAACGTTTAATATTTTGATTTCCCCGGTCGTTTATTTATTTATTTTTTTTTTGGAAGAGACTGAGACAATTCTTTTCACACTTGGTATTCTCGTGTATCTTCAATAAAGGTCACTCTAATATCTTTCAGAGTTATTGTCTGAATCCCGATATACATGCTAAAAGCACAACTTCCTTAAGTTTTGTCTATGAGTGTATTTTTATAAAAAGTACTCATTGCTTGCATATTCCATATGAAATATGGATAATAATCCATATTCTATAAATATTTCAATATCCTATATCACAAATATTTTACATCGTATTCAATTTTCAATAATTATTTTTTTTTTCACACATCAATTTTTCTACCATTATTGAATCAAAGCAAAAACTAACTTTAAACTAAAACCTACTCTGACGGTTTTATACCTTAGCAAAGGTTGGCGTTCAGCCAACTGAAATATTGGTAAATATATTCTTTTTGAAACCAATATATGCTTTTTATATGAAGATTTATTTATGGATTGCTCCTTTTGGTGTGAAACACCAAAGAAATATATATACACTCATGGACAAAACTTAAGAAAGTACAAAGTCTTTTATTTTGCCGATCGTCTGTTTCTTTGAAGAAGACAGAGGCAATTTTGTTCACACTTGGATATCTCATATCTTCAATAAATATCACTGTAATATCTTTCAGAGTTATTTTATGAATCCCGATATACATGCTGAAAGGTACAACTATTTTAAGGTTTTGTCCATGAATGTATCTATATATACATCTTGTCTTTAAGTTACTTTATGTATCATTTACGAACGGAAAAATACGTCCAGGGTAGCCTAACGGACATGGCATCTGCCCGGTAAGCGGAACATTGTGGGTTCGATTCCCATCCCTGGACACTTTTATTTTTCCGTTCGTCATTACTCTTCATAATTCACCCTTTCATACCTCATCCAAAAAAGGATAGAAATAGTCGATATTTCACCTTGAAATAAAATTTTGATTTTTCGTTTAAAAGAAACTCATGGGGTGTAACTTCAAGTGTCGTTTTATACACATCTTGTGCATCTGTGACATACAATCTTGTATAAAGAAGAGCGTAGACGTGGGACCTATCCCAAGTACAGTATGATCATCTTGGTAGACAGTAAACGACTGGTTTGGCTGTAAGTGTACCACATGTCTACACATGTATAAAACAGTTTGACCTTTATACTTACATATGTGCCAGAGAGCCTTGTCTGGTTACTAGCACTTACTGCTGGGGGTAGATTTTGTAAAGAATCGAAGACCATTAGAGCAATTAAAAAAGGGTTCGATACCATTTCTGAGATCCCACCCTTCCGTGCTACGTATATAAGCAGAATCGTCCAATACAATATTAGAGCTCTAAGAATCGGTCTGGTAGATTAAATTGTCGAAATCGCTGGGAGGATTCACAACTCTTGAGTCAAGCCCTTCCAATATTTTCATCAGAGTGTATAAAATAAGCATTCGTGTTTGAATCCTGTCATGGATTGCTCCTTTTTGTGCGAAACACCAAAGCAATATATATATACACTCATGGACAAAACTTAAGGAATTGGAAAGTCTTTGCCGATCGTCTGTTTCTTTGAAGGAGACACAGACAATTTTGTTAACACTTGGTAATCTCATATCTTCAATAAAGATCACTGATTCAAATATATTTCAGAGTTATTGTATGAATCCAAATCCCTTTGGCAAAGTGATATGTAGCTGGTAAAATGGCTAGACCAATTCTATGGGATGGACCGACGAAAACCAATAACCTGAAACCATAATGGGCATTCTGAATTCGCTAAAGCTGTGTACTAAATCTATCCGTTAGTTTACAGAGATGGTTAAAGATTGCGCTTATTTTTAACGTGAGAGATGATCTTTCTTCGTTTAGCTATTATTCCTCTTTGCGAAAATATCATCTGAAAAGAAAACTCGAATTTTTGCGACCTTATTTTCACATATTTTTCTATTTGATTGTATTTTATTCATATTGTACCATAAGCCGACTTCATGGAACAGAATGCTCGTGTCAGCGCCGGGTGGTTCCACGCGAACTCTCGTGCTAGTGTTTTCTCTCTTTGGTTTCATATAAAACTATTTTTTATAATATGATGCACTAGCGCGCCATCTGTTATCAAATTTCAAAACTATTTTAAAGGCGTAAGATTCTTTTTGATATTAAACAATTTCTACTGCCCTTACTGCAATGGAAAAATTAATGAGAGGGCCTGGCTCATCAATGGTAAACCCTCTCAGCGGTAGATTAAACTGGCGAAACCGCTGAGAGGGTTCACCACTGATGAGCCAGGCCCTCTCATTAATTTTGTATTTCAAGAAAGGGCAGTAGAAATTGTTTAATATCAAAAAGAATCTTACACCTTTAAAATAGTTTTGAATTTTGATAAAACAATCTTTGTTTGTAGAGATTGTGTTAGTTAAACTTCTCTCGCTTATTAAATTGTTCTTAATACGACTTGCTAATTATTTAATCACTACAATATTGTTAATCTCTCAGTTATAGTAACAGACTCTACTTACACCATTTTAAATCAACTTTAGCGATTCTTTTGAATAACTAAGCCTTATATAAAGACTATGAAGAAGTTAAAGAAGAGAAAATTCCTCATTAAGATACTTAAAACAATATCAATGATTCTTCGCATTTTAAATACTCCCTTGTAAAAAATATACAAAATACAAATATTTTTCTGCATATCGAAAAAACTAGTAAAAAAACTATTTTTCATGCATAGACAATTGGCAATGGTCGTTGGAGACCCGTTCGTAATATTCCAACGTATTCTACCTCGGTGACAGTTACCTTGTACATAATTATTGTACTTAGCATTTATATTTTTCAATTCATAATTGTACAAACTGTGCACATGTGCTATTGACAATATGTCAATAAATCTTTTTTTATTTTGTCAAAAACAATATACAAATCATAAATCGTCAACATGAATTTTTCCTTTTCTAATTGCCTTTACCTATTTCATTACTTTATGAAGCCAAGTTTTTCAAAATTGCAAAGATTAATTTATTTGTTGAATAGGGTATTTTACCAATCACCACGATTGGTGATATAAATAGAAGAGAGATATTAAATATATAAACTAAAATTCTGTAAAAAAAAAAGAAAACCTCTTATATATACAATATTAATCGCAAGACTGGTGCTTCGCTCTCTTAAAGAAACACACACATATATATAAAAAGAGTTAATATTCGAACTAAAATTTAAACTCAAACAAATTATATAATATATAATACAATATAATGCGGCTTTTTATTGGTAGCCTAGTGGACATGGCATCTTCCCGGTAAGCGGAACACTGTGGGTTCGATTCCCATCTATGGACACTTTTATTTTTCCGTTTATCATTACTATTCACAATTCATCCTTTCATATCTCATCCCTAAGGTTAGAAATAATCGTTATTCCTCCTTAAAATAAATTTCGAATTTTCGTTTAAAAGAAACACATGCGGGAAAATTTTCAAATGTCGTTCTACAAAATCATATAATATGATTGAGATAATATCAGTTTTTATAGTTGTGCGTTCTGAAGAGAAAGTCATTCATTATAAATATTAATATTGTTTCAAAATAGTACTTTTTCCATACTATGTATATATAACAATCGTAATAGTTTTCATTTAATAAACAAAGGCCAATCCTGGAAACAATAATATCCGTATCTCCAGGAAATAAGACAAATAAATAAGTAGTATAAGGAAACATTTGGGGAAAAACACAAAATAATAAAATAGAAAATAGCATTTCTTTGTGGATTCCAAAATATAGCAACACACTACAAATAATGTTTATACAATTATTAATAACAGTTTATTATAGGAATTCAGATATTATAATAATTTAGACTTTTAATTTATATATAAAGTTTTTTTTTGTATTTTATTAATGAAGTTTCTATATATTTTAGTTATATAAGCTGTTCTAGATTTGTAGGTTGATTTGATTTAAAAGAAAGGGCTCTCGTCAGCGTGGTACAGGCTGTATCTCTAGGACTAAAAATGTGCTAAAAAAATATTTTTTGTGTCTTTTCTATTATATAAACCTTAAAAATACTGAAATAACAATTAATATATATATAAGCATTTACCTTAAACAATAATAAACTTGAAAAGCTGAGAAAGGATTTAATGACAATATAAAATATGATGATATAATAGAAAGAGACAATGAAAAATTATGAATATAATAATAGAATATTCCAATTACTAAGATGCCCTGTAAAGAAACTGTTCGATATATATGATAGTTTGCTACAGATTTAGTATCATAATACAATTCAGAGTACCATGAAAAAGTGTAACATCATGAAAAGGTGTAGTATCTTGAAAAGGTGCAACATCATTAAAATACGAGGTATGTTCAAAAGGTATCGCGACTTTTGTGTTTTTTTCAAATATTATTTATTTATTCATGAATACCTATTTTGTCCCCTTCAAAGTAATCCCCATGAGATATTATACACTTGTGCCAACGGTTTTTACAATCTTCGAAACACTTTATCTCGTCAAGCGTAGCGTAACGTCGTCCTTTCATGGGCCTCTTCAGTTTAGGAAACAAGAAAAAGTCACAGGGGGCCAGATCTGGGGAATACGGTGGCTGCGGCATCATTAGTGTGTTGTTTTTGGCCAAAAGGTCGCGCACAAGCAACGATGTGTGAGCAGGGGCGTTATCGTGGTGCAAAAGCCAATTTCTGTTCTTCCACAAATCCGGGCGTTTCTGGCGGATTGCTTCGCGCAAATTGCGCATAACTTGCAGGTAATATTCCTTATTGACCGTTCTAACCCTGTGGCAAGAACTCATGATGCACCACGCCCCTGCAATCGAAGAAAACTGTCAGCAAAACTTTCACATTCGACCGAACTTGGCGCGCTTTTTTCGGTCTTGGTTCGTGCGGCAGCTTCCATTGAGATGATTGAGCTTTGGTTTCCACGTGATAACCATAAACCCACGCTTCGTCACCAGTTATGACCCTTTGGAGCAAATTTGGGTCGTCGCGGACAGAGTCCAACATCTCATTAGCAATGTTCATGCGATGCTTTTTTGGTCGCAATTGAGCAAATCAGGTACGAATTTCGCGGCGACCCGTCTCATGCCCAAATCATTGATAAAAATCGAATGGCACGAGCCAATCGATATGTTTAGGTCCTCAGCAACTTCTCTAACGGTGATTCGACGATTAGTCAATATAATTTTCTCCACTTCATTAATTTTTTCGTCTGTTGTTGAAGTGCTCGGGCGTCCGGCACGCTCTTCGTCGTTCACATCTTCTCGGCCTTTTGAGAACATTTTGTACCACCGATAAACGTTTCTTCGGTCCAAGGTAGCTTCTCCGTATGTCACAGTCAACATTCGGAATGCATCCGCGCACTTAATTTCGTTTTTTCACACAAAATTTGATACAGGTTTATCGATCCATTTTTTTAATAGGTAAAAATCGAAGACGATCCAAAACACCTGCAAGCAAAGCAGCTGTCAACAATTAAGTGAACATTCAAAATGGCCGAGCTTGTCGGCATAAGTGATAGACATGAGTACCAACATAAAGCCACAAAAAGATCAAAATTCGAATATACGTAACCCGCGAAAATTCAAAATTCGCGATACTTTTTGAACATACCTCGTATGTAGTATCATGAAATAATAGAGCATAAAAATGCGGAATTGAAATATTAAACTAATTGTCGGTCATATTGCCAAACATTTGCATGCAGTTGAAAAGAATTGATAGACCTTGCCTTTGCCACATTCCATAGGAGAAGAGGTTATCTACATGTTTAAATATTTTAGAAATTACCAGTAAAACTTATTTCAATATTTTCGATAAAATGAGAATGGTTTGAGAATATAAACAATATACATTATAAAATGCAATGCAAATTTAAACATACTTTATTTTCTCAGCTTCTTATAGATTTGACATCAAAATAATCTAGACAGTAGCTTTACAAGAATGGCCACATCCTTCTTGAAGACAGCATTTCGCGTTATCTTCGCATTCTGCATCAGACTTGCAAGAATCGTGGTACATGATGCATCTAATTTGAGGGTCGGATTTAGGACAGTTACCAGGATCTGCACATCCGTTATTAGTTAGTTTATTGAAGAGAGATAATACTTATTAAAGGAGAATAGGTAAAAGCTAACGGGGCGCGACGATAATTTTTAAATGAAGATATATGTTTGGCGAGCTTTCGGAATAAAAGGTCCTTCAATAGACTGTAATACGAATATAAGAAACTAAAGTAGAAATAAATTATATATTTGTGAAGAAATAATTTCAAAAAAAAAAAAATTAAAAAGATCAGGTGTTGGTATTAAAATCCAAAAAGGCATATCTTGACTAGGAGCACATTGTTGGGTGGATCGTAATAATTACTATCTTTTAAAACATAAATCTTCTTTATTGAAGGTACAAAAATAATGAAAATAAATTTCTATAAAAAAATCTATAAACTCATATGCCTAAACCTCTCCACATATACTCTCTCACACACCTCTCTCTCAAATAAATACATATATATATATATACACTCAACACCACAGAGTAAATTAAGTCACAGATTAATTCAATCATAGAATGAAAATTGATATTTTAAATAAATAACATCAACACACATGAGGTTTCTAGATGGCGCTTTTCCAGATGACTTACGAGTTTCCTGGGCTTGGATGACACTTGACAACATCAGACAAGACAGAACTAGGGTCACTAGAATCATCTTCATTTTGTCGTACCTGTCAATAATACATTATGTCAGTTAGTATTTATATCTCTAATTGAACTTATCTTAAAGATAGAGGCTGCCTGGCCGGCATTCATAGTTATTCAAATTAAAGATACTTTCGGCTAGTTAATCTTTTTTATTATATAGACGTTTCGACATAAAATATTTTGTCCTCGTCAGGAGCGAACAAAAATTAAAACATTTGGTGAAGCGTTAAAAATTATTCTAAGGCTGCAAAACGTTCTCACGCGATATTTCAAAGTCGAGATAATAAAAAGATTTACTGGCCGAAGTATCTTTGATTTTAAGATCTAATTGAATTATTACAATTTATAGCAAATATCAAGTAAAATATTTCTTATATAAAGAATTTGCTTTTATCAATATTATTGCGTTAAAAAAAAGGCTATACATATGTGAATATCAGAAAGAAATCAGAGTTAGTGTCTGAATCCCGATATACATGCTAAAAGGTACAATTTACTTTTGTTTCCATGAGTGTATTTTTCTTTAATATGAACACACACAAAAAAATAAATTAGATATTGGAAAATATATTTGTAGGAACTTAATATATCACACACATCTAGTATAATACAACAATTAATTATTCATATTTAGACAGACAAATTAAACAATTTTATTGATTCTTTCAATCAAATTTTACAAAGGAGAAAATATAAAAGAGTAAATGGGCTATTATTCATATTTAGATATGTAAATATGTCTGGTAATTCTCCGCTGATTGGTTCTCTACTATCACATGATCTTATCGCTCAATTAGTATTGTGGTGATAAGACTTCTATAATTTCATACAAATCATATATCAATCTTATATATATAACAGGATATATACGAGTTATATATGTTCTTTGAAAATCAAACTAAGTCAAGTTTATTAGAATTATATTTGTTGTCATAAAATTGTTAAATAATTTAATAATTAAAAGGTCTGTTATGTATCACTAATCATACTAAATAAAAATGTGTAGGTACAGCTATAATAATTTCAGTGGGAAGATATTTGCGACAGATTTTACTAAATTCATAACATACATATGTCGTAAACCCGGGTAAGCCAACAAGTGAGTTGGAAGCAGTCGGGGTTGAGTGGCAAGGCGTGCAGAGTGGGAAGTCCGCACCGGACAGTAAGGACAAAGTTTGGGATCAAAAGACGCTCTCCTAGTATGTCTCACGTGGCACCAGGACCAAGGGAAAGTTGAGGATTAACTGAGGAAAGCTCGGCGTCCTGCATGAAGCCGCGGAGGCAGGGAGGAACCAAACGGCGGCCACGAGGGCCGCCGTGAGACCTAGCACTGAGCAGGCCTCTCCGAAAATATCCACTGTAACCTAACTAACTGTCAACATCCGGACCAACGCCCCTTCTTTGTCCCTCCCTGGATCCCCCGGGTGTCCAGTGGCAAGCTGGTGTCACTTTGAGACGACTAGAAAAGACGTCATACTTTATTACTTACATAGCACATTGTTTAAATTACGATACATATATGTATACTACTATAAACTACATGTATATGCATGCACATGCATACTACTATATACTAAAAATATACGAAAGTACATCAATATATTATAAAAC